TATTAACATGATTCTACTTGAAAAAGCTACAGGGCCTTGGGTTACAATAGTATCCATTATTAATGAAGAGATAAGAAGTTTCCACCGAGGAAAAAGAAAACAAAAGCTCATGCAAAATTCAACTTAGCTAATTTGAATTGAAGGCTGCAGAGCCAGGAAGAGGGGAGACAAGAAGTAGAAAGGGCTGTGAAGCTAAGACTGGTAGAAAAAAAAATCCTCATCTCAGGGTCCCAGACGCCCAGCCACGCATGGCACAGTCCAGAGCACACTGAAAAGATGGCAGGACTCGGCCACTCAGGTTTTCAGCATTTGTTGCTGGCTGCCAGGGCATTGACGGTGAGTAGGACAGACATGCCCCGCCCCCAGGTCCACATCTGAATCCAGGGCAGCCAGAGGGAGCAGTGTGACGCATTGTGAGAAGTACTTTGTAGAAGAGGATTTTGGGGGAACACAAAGGGCCTCTAATCCAGCTCTCGGGCATCAGGGAAGACTTCTCTGGGGAGCCGTGAGAGAGACATACCACGAGTAGGCACCTACCAGAAGAAGAAACGATGTGTGTTTTACACCTGTATTTTCAAAGGCCGTGGATTAGGATGGAGGGCAGCGGTGTGTGTGTGTGTGTGTGTGTGTGTGTGTGTGTGTGTGTCTGTGTCTGTGTCTGTGTGAGGGGGGAGGATGGGTATAGAGTAGGCACTAATCAGGTAAGGTTTGGATCCCGTGGTAAGGATTGTGGACTTTGCAAACAGCGAGAATGACTCTCTGGCCTCACTGAGATGGACACCAAGAGACTGTAGCGATTGAAGCAAACAATTGTAGCCCAGAGAGGAGCAAAACTGTGGATGCAAAGTGAAATGCGAATTTTAAAAATGCGTGAAACACAATGGACATGCCCTGATAGACATGAGGTATGAGTGTTCAAGGAACCTACGGTGACCTCAGCTACATCTGATTTGAACAGTTGGGCAGCCAGATGGTAGAGCCATTGGGGACTCCACAAGGGTCACGTCCAATGCTTCAGAATGGAATTGGCCATAGGATAAGAGGAGGCTTCACAATTCACAGCAGAACATCAGGCTGAAAGGCTCAAGAAAGATCGACTTACCAGAAATACAGACGTCTGGGTGGAAAAGGAATGGCGAGGGGGTGAAGTTCAGTTGAGATGCTCAGCTGTGAAAAGAGGCTTTAAAAAGGAAGGTACAAGAAGGTACACACTCTTGCACCAGAGACACAGGAGGGGGAGATGCTGGGCACCTCATCAGTGCTGGTCCACACCTCCTGGGAAGATCACCAGTGGGCTGCAGCATCTCTTTGCTTGTCTGTATTGGAAGACTAGAGACTGGATGCTAAGTATTGGCTTGCTTTCTTTCTTTTTTTCTTTTACCATAAAGCAGAAGCTGTTGCCAGGTGGTGGTGGCACACTCCTTTAATCCCAGCACTCGGGAGGCAGAGGCAGGCAGATCTCTGTGAATTTGAGGCCAGCCTGGTCTACAAAGCGAGCTCCGGGACAGCCAAGGCTACACTGAACAACTCTGTCTCAAAAAAAAAAAAAAAAAAAAAAAAAAAAAAAAAACATAAGCTGCTTTTGGAAAGTGGCTGTGTATATGTAAGAGTGACCGAAAAGCTTTAAGGTGAAGAACCTCGCTAAAGAAGTCAAAAGAGGCAAGTAATGGGATTTACTGCCCTACACATTTGAATATTAGACTCACTTGGAAAGTTGGAGATCTACTGGCTTCAAAACCCATTTCAGACTTTCTGATTCAATTGGCAGAATGTGTATGTAGCCCGAGTCCCGGAGGGCTTTTCATGCATTGCCCCAGGTGAGATTCCCTTATGAACAAAGAACAAAGATAGAAAACCATTTAGTAAGATGAGATGGAAGAGGGCTGACCTCTGAGGCCAGCATTCTGAGTTCACATAGGGAAGAGTGAGAGTCTTGGGGTTCTCCCAGCAAGGTCAGGAAGTATGGCCAAGGGTCAGGAGTGAGATGACATCCCCAAGGCTGGGCATGGGGGCAGTCACACAGCAAAAGAGCAGGTAGCAAACAGCGCGGCGTGTAAAGGCCAGGGGCGCCCATCCTTGGGCATTATTAGGCAACAGGCAGCACCATGGCTAACTCACCTGAGGACTGGTGTAGAGACAGGTTACCCTTGGCTGATGACAATGGTTTTCGAACAGTCTGTCACTGGAGACGCCCATGCTTTTCCACCCCATCATGCAGATTCCACCGCAGCAGGGAAGCCCTTACAGGGACATGGGCAATGTTCCTGTGACTCTGTACCCCGACTCTCCTTGTCTCTCTGGGGGGAGGGGTCTCATCTACCCTGCTTCTTCTCTTTCATCTGTGCAAATGAGGCTAGACTCCTTGTTTGATAATAGCTGTCTTTGTTATTTTTTTCATCTCTGTTTGCTTCCTGTTGCTGTGTTAACCACCATGACCAAAAAGCAACTTGGGGAGTAAAGGGTTTGCCTCACCTCACAGATTAGAGACCTTCATGCAAGGACGTCAGGGGAAAAAGTCAGGACAGGGACACGGAAAAAATTTTGTTAGGAAGACTGAACAAGAGGTCCTGGAAGAAGGCTGCTCACTGACTTGGCTCCTCCTGGCTCGCTCAGTTTATACAGTCCATGACCACCTGCCCAGGGGTGGCATCACCTCCAGTGAGCCAGACCCTCCCACACCAATCGTTAATCAAGAAAATGCCCTACAGACTTTCCTACAAGCAATCTGATGGAGGCGTTTTCTCCACTGAGGTTCCTCTTCTCAGATAATTCAATTGTGGCCAATTGAGGAAGAAAAAAAAAAAACACCCATAGCAAAGGGGGTGTAAAGCTATTAAAGACAGTCTGCAGACGAGGGATATGGGTCAGTGCAGAGCCTTGACTAGCATGAATTAAACCCTGGGTTTGCTCCCCCGTACAACACAAACTACAGCAAAATGTCAGTCTAAGATGGACAGGGTGGCTCATTTCTTTTATCCAGATATTTAGGAGGCAGAGGCAGGCGGCTCTGTGTGAATTCAAAGGCCAGCCTGGGCCACACAGTGAACTCCATGCCAGCCAGGTATACAGAGAAAGACTGTCTCAAAAATAATAAAATAAAATAATAAAATATGACCACACCAAAATCTCCCAGTCTCGCTCCCATCTTTCCTTTTTTACTTAACTTTATTTTATGTGCGTCGATGCAGGGACCACCAGTGGACCAGATCCCCTGGAACTGGAGTTACAATTGTGAGCTGCCATGTGGATGCTGGCAATTGAACCTAAGACCTCTGGAAGAGCCGCCAGTGCTTTTAATTGCTAAGCCATCTCTCCAGCCCTCTCACTCCCACCTTTGATCTGATAGTTCTGTCTTCTTATTTAACATCCCCATATTTTCTCCCAAGGTGCTAGTTTGTATATAACTTGTGACAGACAATGGTTCAGGGTATCGGCTGGTAACAAACTCTAAGGTACCTGGAACAACCTATTCTTCTCTTGGTAGATGAAAGGCATAGAATAGGCAGGCCTAACAAAAATCTTTCAAAAGTAGACTCAAAAGCTTTAAATTTATTTTGTTGTTGTTTTGTTGCATTTTTGTCTTTATTTTTGTTTTGTTTTGTTTTGGAGATAGGGTTTCTCCATGTGGCCCTGGCAGTCCTAGAACTTACTCTGTAGACCAGACCAGGCTGGCCTGGAACTCACAGAGATCCACCTGCCTCAGATGAAAGACATGTGCCACCACCGCCTGGCTTCAAAACTGATTTTTATGTAAACTATCTCAATGAAGCAAACAAACATCAGAATGCAGACATCAGTCACTAGAATGTAAGCTCTTGGGCAAAGGGAAATTTAGAGAAGCGTCAGAATTTCATGTTTTGTGAGCTCTAAAATGCTTTATAAGATACAGTCACCTCATTGAGGACAAGGGTGGGCCATGTTTTTAATTAAACTGTGACGTCTTTTCTCGGACATTTTTCCTTTTAGATTTATTTATTTAAGCATGCCTGTTACTACGCATTCTTCTTACCTCGTTTTGAGAAGGAAAGCAAGTGGGATGAACGGCGGAGGTGTCCCATCAAGCCTCTTCACATTTTCATTCCTGCTTCTCTCTTCAGCCTCCCCACTCGCGTTTCTCACACTATGGGGCCCCCTGGGTTTTCAAGGAAGATGGTGTCATCCTTTCTTATTAGCACCCATATTTTCTTCCGACGCTGATAGTTCCTCTTGTAAGCTTCTGGCCTAGTTCGGCACAGACAATAATCTTGCTAACAAAACCTAACCCAGCCACAGCCACCTGGGATATTACTGCTCCTTAAGTCCCACAAGACTAAGATTTTCAGAGTTCATGTTTGTAGTTCATCCACCTGGGGGCTGAAACCCACAAGCTCCCAGGTGAGGTCAACCCCACTGAGCTTAGGACCCAACCTAGGCCATAAAGCTATAGCACAGTTGATCCAACTGCTCACTTCTGTGCAAGAAAATCTTGGGTTGACCATTCCTTCAATAGGTGTTTGTTTTGCTGATATCAAATTCCCGCCGTTTCCAGGCTTGCCTATTTTTAAAAGCAATTTTCATTGCAATGCCAAATTATGATGTCATCTCTTGAAATCACTTAAGTGGCAGCGAAACTCAAGCCAGGCCCCGCCAGCAAGGCACATAATCTATTGGCTTACTCTGCAGTCATGTTGCACATCTGTACTCCCAACGCTCCTGTAAACAAGATGTGCCGCTGTGACGGGACAATCTTCTGAGATTTGTGGGCTGGCGAACCCAGCAGATGATGCAGGGGATGAGAGACCCTGTCTCAAGGGAGAAGCAGAGGACTGCCAAGGCTGTTCTCTGATCTCTGCTTGTGTACCTGCACATGGTCTACAGAGTGAATTCTAGGACAGGCAGGACTGCACAAGCCCTGTCTTTTGGAAACCCCGTCTCACACACAAAGAAGCAAGCCAAGGTTAAAACAATCCGTGGGAGTTATAGCAGAGATAGCCACAACCCCGGTGTGTTTCTCTGCATCTTTACATCTTCCTGTGGGCCTGAGTGTAGATCTGCATGTAGAAGGGCATCTGCCACGGAGCAGACGTGGTAAAAGGTCTGATATGTCTCCTCCTCCCCACCCAGCTGTGAAGCTCATACTCCATCTAAGTCAGAGAGTACCCTGGGCAGTCAGAGGGAGAGGGAAGACGGGGGAAAAAACAACTGCTCCCATAGGCGTGGTTAGTAAAGAAAGCAGGAAACAGGTCATTCAAAGAACAGATGACGCTCACACAGGACGCGAGGGTTAAGTGTGTTTTAGGCGGGTGGGACACACAAGCCAAGGGATAGAGACATTCCTATAGCCTCGGTGTGCCACAGGCACGGTAGTCCTGGTGTGGGAACCAATGTCTGCGGCAAACGGATCAGGCTTCAGCTAGAGCAGTTAGCCAGACAGAGGTGCTGGGTGCTGCGTTCAGAAGAGGGAGAGACACCAGAACTTGGTTTCCCCATGAGTGCTCCAGGTCCCGCCCGCTCTGTCACCTCCCTCCATTCAACGTGCTTCTGAGGAGCCCCTTCCACCCAAGTTGCTCCGCCATCAGCGGGCGCATGAGGATTAACGCAAGCCCCCTGCATTATTAATCGCAGCAAAACACCACTGGAGAGGAAATTTTGCTGCTCTTTTGCAAATAGCATATGGTTCTTCCCAAAAGCCAGGAGAGATGGTTTTTTAATCATCCGCTGCTTGGGATTATCCATGCTCCCTTTCCTCGGCGTGGATAATTGAAGGCTGGCAGCGTTTAGATTTCAAAGCGGTTTGGACTTTATTGAAATCCGAGGCTCCCAGTGGGTGCCCCAAGCCAAGCGGGCATTCGGGCCTGTAATTAAATTGATCTGTGAGGGGGAGGGCCCCAAGGTATCGCTCTAATATGAGCGATTAGCAGAGAAAGACAATTGGCATCTTTGTGTCGCACATGTGGCTCACACATGGGCCCGCAACGATAGCAATGGCTTTCCTTGCAGAGAGACACCTTTGTGCTTGTTACTAGGGTGCAGTTAGACATGGCAGCTCTGTGCTCTAGACAAGGCTACACACTTTCTGGGTTGAGACCTCACTGTGGTGCCCACAGGTCCCTCGGAGATGGAAGCAAACGTTAGAGGTGATTTGTTTTTGAAGGTGGGCAAAACTTGGCCAATACATGTATACGTGTGGATACGCATATCCTGGAAGCTGGAGACTTCCCGGGAGATGTTGGGTACGGCGTCGCTAGCACATTCTCTCTGACCTTTGCAGGCCTGTGCAGTCTGCACAAGGAGGAAGGTGGCCAGCCTCCCCCATGATGCAGGGGAGCACAAGCTCAGGAGCAGGAGCTGTGTTGCTTCAAACAGTACTCACTAGGAAGAGGACACAGATGGGAACAGAGACAGAGAAAAGCCAGTCCTTCGCCTGAATGTGTTCTTCACCTAGCCAAGAAGGAAAGACAACGGAAAGCTGCAGACACAGGAACACACAGAAAGGAACGAGTTGAGGCTGTCTTTAGTGGCTACAGAATCCTCATGGTGCTGGGGGTCGAGGCGCCTGTGTGGATCCGCAGGGCGACTCTGGTCCTGCTGAACGGCAGTGTGTGGACACTTGAGCTGGACCCGATCTTTCCTCTATCATAGTTGGAACCTGGTACCCAGTCAGGACCCAGCACCATCACTCAACGTCTCCCCTCCAATCAAAGTTCAGCTTCCTCTGCCCACCCACGCCCCCTTCTCATCACACTCCTCTAGCCGGCAGACCACGCCTCTGCTTTGGACCTGCAGCCTCTGCTCGCCTAAACTGAAGGGAGTCTTGGCTCATTCCAGAAAGATGTGGGGCGTGTGGTCCCTTTCCCTCCCTCCTCAGCTTCCTCTGCTCTCAGTCCTTGCAGGAAGGCACAGCTCCATTCACCTGTAGCATCTCCCAAGTTCTCTCGAGATCCCCTGTGTGCTCATCGAGCTTGTTACTGCATATTTATGCCTCTGCCACTGTCCCCTGGCACCGCAGACACTGAGAAACAGCAGCCCCGCACCGAATGCCAGCTCACCACAGAAATGAAGATGGGTGTCTTAGCAAGGAATGAAAGCCATCCAAGGCATCATTTGGGCCCTCCTTGGAGAGAGCAGCCAGGCCATTTTCGTGATTAAATCCACTCTCCATTCCCATAGGTCTCTGAGGGCTACGCCTGACCTCACCAGTTACCAATTACAGACAGGCTGGGTTATTTTTGTTAAACAGTAATTAAAACCAAACACAGAGATAGAAAAGAGCCATCCACTGGTGATGTTCTTGATGGGACCCATAGATTGTTCGGCCCTTCCTGTCATGATACCAGGTACCCAGAGTCACCCAGGAGATGACCCTGGGACACGCTACGCTGCCAAGTATATATCACACAGTCACAGACACACTGGCCCTGTCATTCTATGGCATTGGGAACCATGCTGACCTCCGGGTAAAGGAGCAAGCAGCCCTGGGCTCCCTCAGTCACACTGAGACAGGTCACATAGCACGCACTAAACAGCTACAGAAAGTCTCCTCCATGTTGTTCCACGCTGGCTGGTTGTGCCCCTGCCAAGCTACCAGCTTGCTTTATAGACGGCAGAACTGCAGCTTGGCCCCCACTGCCCAACTTGCCGTGTAGACTGCAGACGATTGCAGTTCAACACTGCGGTCAGCTTGCATTATAGACTACAGATCAGCGGCTCAGCCCCCCAGCCAGCTTGCTTTGTATACTGCTATACGGCCTTGGGACCGACTGTTCTACTTACCCCACAGGTATAGCTTGGCCTCAGTGATGCACGCTGGCCCCTCTGGATGAGGAGCAGGGAACTGTCCCACCAGGAGCCACAAGTCTCTGCTTTAAACAGTTCATTAAAAATACCAGCACGAAAGCTCTCCATGGTGATTCCCCCAAGGGGCTGCCTTCCTTGGTCTGAACGCTTGCCTCTCATCCGTGTTGCTGAAGACATGCTGGTGGCGGCACACAGGGACAGCTGCTGGGTTTCTCTGTGTCGGGGAGAGCCACTGCTCACTGGGTGGCGGTTATACGGAGGCAGTGCCCATGAATTAGACCCGCTCACATTTTTTCTGCCTGAGCTTGCAGGCCTGGTAGCGAGCCTTCCTCCTACGGATAAAACCAGCATGGGAATTAGCGCAGACACCCCCTGGCTCCAGCTCTATCTAGCTGGGGGACTTTATACAAACCTGTACCATAGTTTAAGCTTCAGGATTCTTATCTGTAAATAAGTCAGAGTTGGACCACATCATCTGTATCTTTACAGTAACTTGGAGGAAGGGAAATAAATTGGAGACACAACCTCAACCCCCCAAAAACTAATAACGCTGAACATATTGCCCCCAAAAGACAAACTGCAGGAGTCTACAAATGGTAGAAGTGGTGGAAACTTCCTTGGTCCAACAGCATCCATCACCGCTACCTCTGGCAATAACCGTTAGCTAGTCAATCCTGACACAGCACAAAAGTGGCCTTGCTCTGCTCTACTCCCCAGAGGACAACACAAGGCTGAGGAACAACACAGATGGCACAGAAGGGTCATAGCAGAGGCCGACTTAAAGGCTTGTGGGTCCGAGGCTGCACTCGTACTTCCCTGCCCACGGCCTCAAATGGCCTCTGGGCCAGGCCACAGCCTCGCTGTAGTGCCTGGGTGGGATGGGGCTGGATTAGCTTGAAGGCAGGGCACCTGCTGTTTGTGTCGGTTCTGCTTGTACACCACTTTTTCCAAAGCGCTCCTCCTGTTTTTTGCAAATGACTATTACAAGCCTTTTCAGAGCAAGTTGAGACGAGACAAGCTCACCAAGGCAGCAGCAGATGTTCCTCAGCCTGAGGACCTGACAGGAGCCCAGCTTCCTCAGCTGACGTGACTGTCAGAGCCCATGAATCACAACACAGCCTTCTGCAGTCTGTCTGCAGAAGCAAAGCAGTGCTCGGCAGATGTATGGTTCTCCCCAGCCATTGGCAGGGTCTGAGGCTATGGAGCTCCCTGTGATGGGAAGCGTGGCAAAGATTTAGCCCTGTCCCACAGGCTCCTCCTCCTGTGAGGTCACGAGGTCCACCGAACAGGACTGTGCAGGGTTAGTTTTCAGTCTCAGGCCTCACTGCCTCCCTGGAATGATGAACTAATTCTATTTCAGTTTTATTGTTTTGTTTATCTTTTTGTTTCACTTCGGGGTTCCTTTCTTTTTCCTTTTGTTTGGTTTTTCAAGACAGGACTCACTATGTAGCCTTGGCTGTTCTAGAGCTCACTCTGTAGACCAAGCTGGCCTTGAACTCAAAGAGATTCACCTGCCCCTGCCTTCCAAGTACCAGGATTAAAGGTGTCTGCCGCAGCTACTATGCCTGGCTTGAACTCTTTCTTAGGGCTATACTCACCGTCTGGGAGTGGTAGTCTGTTTCTAGGTCTTTCTGGCATCTTTCTGAGATCTCTCTGCTGGCTGCCTGTAGCACACCATGCCCTTCTGTGCTCTATGCGCTACCATACAGCTCGTGAACCGGGCAAGGAGCTGGAGATTGAAACACACAAATATTCACAGACAGAGACATGGGTCATCCTTGAAACAGGACCGCCCCCTTCATTGTGTAAAAGAGCCGCTTATATAGGGATCCTTAACTGATAGGCACGCCCCAGCCAAACACACCAGAAAGCACTCCTCCTGCCATCAGGAACTCCTGAGGGTCTCGTGCTCAGAGCAGCTGCAAGCTGTCTCAGAGCAGAGGAAAACAAGTTGTTTACAAGAAATTCAGGATCTGGGGTTCACAGCTCCCAACAGCTGCCCTCATGACCACTCTCAAGAATGAGTCTGTTACGTTTTCTCACTTAAGTTCAGAGGTGTCAAACTGTGTCCAGAGAACTGTGTTTTGGGGTTGCAGGGGAGGCTGAACAGAGCCCGGGCTGCCCTACCAAGCCCCAAGCCTTAGAGGGTTCTGGGAACTCTACAAGCCGAATCTGCTCACTCATGCAGCTGGGTTCAACAGTCCACTGGGACCTTTCCTGATCTGGTCTGATGACCTATGTGCCTCCTCGACCTGGACACGTGATGATCTTCTAGATGGCCCCTCAGAATGGAATCAGAGTAGCTACCTAGCATGGAGTATGAATTCAGCCAGGAAGAACAAGATCAAAGTTCTCCAAGTCAATTGTCCTCCTGAATTCAAAAAATCCTGGATACTGCCAGTTGCCTCTTCACAGTGGTTTTTGATTCTTATTTGTTTCGTGTTGTTTTGTGAGTGTCTCATTTAGTCCAGGCTTCAAGGTGATCCACATAAGTGGCCTGTGTTAGGACTTTACTCCTTTTTATAGCCGAAGAAACATGCCAGTGTATGGGACAGCCGTAAGATTTAGCTTACCCATCTTTCAGCTGATAGGCATTTGGATAGTTTCTATGTGTCTATTGTCAATAATACTCCTTCCTAGTATTTGCATTTGCAAGAAGCTTCTGTCTAGGAACATTTTCACATGCATATAATTCCAGGTATGGAGCTGATAGCTCACATAGTGGTTCTCTTTCACAAAATTGTGTTTGCAAAACTCACAACTATTTTCCAAAATGAATGCATATTTTACATTTCTGCCAATGCAGCACAATGATTCCAGTTTTCCCACTTTTTACCAACATGTGTTTGCTGTCTGGCTTATGGACTATAGCCACCCTACTTTATGCGAAGTATAATATCTCATTGTAAAACTTGGTTTGTAGGTGTTTGGGTTTTCCTGGGTTTGACTTTTCATTTTGAGGCGGGATCTTAAACCCACTCTCCTCCTGCCTCAACCTCCCAGGAGCTGAGATTGCAGGTACAAGTCACTGTGTCTTCCTGTGGTTTTAATTTTCAGTTCTCTGATGACTAATGATATTGGGCATTTGTTCGTAAGTTTACTGACCACGTATTCTTTGGAGGAAAAAAAAAAAAGATGAGAGTTTTCATCTGATCCAAGCATGGACTTTTCTAAGAAGTTCTCAGACAAATACTCTGGGTAGAACATGCCAGAGGAAAACTTTGGATGTCCCCATTATATTTATACCAACTGGTCCTCTGGCTACAGACCTGGAAGATTCAGATAATTCCTCTAAGTAATGGTCTTCAAGCAAGGGGTGGAGCATCCTCAAGGAAGGGAACTGGGCTTCCTGTCACAACAGGTCCCCTATCCCCGGCCCTGAAGCCTTTAAACAAAGGATAGCTCTACAGATAGAAGGACGTGGGAGATGATTTTGGTTCACAAGGTAGACGTCTCCCTGCCTGGTGAACAGTTCACCAGTTGGTTTTGACTGAAGGTCAGATGACCTGTGCTGTAGAACCTACTAGAGTGAGTGTCCAGCACTCATCCTCTGATGTGGGAGCCCCCTCTCTGTGTTGTTTGTATTGGTTAATGAATAAAGAAAACTGCTTTGGCCTGATAGGGCAGAACTTAGGTAGGCGGAGAAGACAGAACTGGAGAAGACAAAGCTGAATTCTGGGATGGAGAAAGCAAAGTCAGAGAGAGAGAGCCGCCATGGAGATACCAGAGTCATACATGCTGAATCTTTCCCAGTAAGCCACTGCCACGTGGCGATATACAGATTAATAGAAGTGGGTTAAATCAAGATGTGAGAGTTAGCCAATAAGAGACTAGAGCAAATGGGCCAAGCAGTGTTTTAATTAATACAATTTCTGTGTAGTTATTTCAGGGCTTAGCTAGACAGGCGACCGGGATGAACAAGCAGGTCTCTGTCTTATAACAATCCTCTATATGTGTTCTCTCCTTTACTGAAACCAAGAAGTTTATTCACGCTTATTTCCAGGATAGCCAAGTTCTCATGAGAAGGGAAACAAGGCAACTCGTGGCCCAGGAAGTGGGCCAGGCTGCAGTGGCGTTCAACACATATTGCGGTTCTCTGTATCTGACTGTCTCCCATGCAGGTCTCCATGCTAATGGGTAAATGGCAACCACCTTGAGACCGAGAAACTCTGCCCTACTATAGGAATGCCACTGCCCATGCTGGTAATGTCAGGGGCAGGGTAGGTCCTCGGGAATCAGTCTTGCTGTCATAGGATACAAGTTTCCCAATCATTTTCTCTTGAGTTAGCTGGCAAAGAACACAGGAATAATCACTCTCTGGGAAGCTGCTTGTGGTACAGGAAATGCATAGTACACGCAATGCTGCCTACTGTCCATAGCTGACACTTTATAGAATAAAGCAGGCTATTAGTTTATTAGTACTAATTATGGCTATTGGAGGGATATTAAAATTTGTCTGCCTTATATATAACTGCAGTACAAAGAAGTTGAGGGACTTGTCTGAGATCATGTGGTGAGAGGAGCTGAGATGTAAGTTCTGTGGTCAGCTTCCAGAATATTCCATAGCTTGACCATGAAGACAGGGCACCACATGAGCTTGTAATTCTGAAAGGTCAGTGCCCAGAGCCACCCGACAACTTCCAATGGGAGGGAAGTAATAATGAGGGTCCATCTGCTAAATAAGATGGTTACAGTAGGAGTGGTCCGGGCACTGGGGATTAATATCGTAACTGTGTGATTGAGTGACCTACAAGAACTACAAGAATTTGCCTGGTAGGTAATATGACCAATGAAATGAAGAAGGAGGGCAATGCCAGTCTTACGACCCTGAAAGCTGGGAGAACTTTAGCTTCTGCTTCCCAAAAGCACCCTCTTGGAAGCAGGTAAGAGGGACAGTCCCAGCTCCAAGGAGCACATGGGCCAGCCAGCTTCTGCTCTTGCCCATGCCCCCTGGAGTGGTCCTTAGGGCTAAGCTTCTTGGCTTTCCTTACCTCTCCCTCAGCCAAGGGACTGAGTAGTTGAGTAGCAGTTGACCCCCAAAACCCCCTCTCTGTGCCTTGTATTTGGGTCACAGAAGAGGAGCAGAACTGCCTGATAGGACCAGAACCGACACCATCTGCGTGTGATTTTAAGCACACTCTCACCATACAGGAAGGGCCTCTACTCTCTCTCCCTTCTGTTCATAGCAGCCTGTGGGCCAAATAGCGCACATAGGAGGCGGAGTGGCCAAGTTGATGCCAAAAGTGGAACAGCTATGCCAAAATCTTAACAGCTATATCAAAAGAGTAACAGCAAGAAAAGGGTGTGAAGATATCTTGACTTCAAAATTTGGGTCTATGTATATGTTGTTTTGGAGAAGAGGTTCTGCTTTTGTTTCCACAGAAGATGAAAAGCTATGAATTCCTTCCAGGCTAATATGTGGTTTGATCAAGCAAGACCCCCTGAGAGGTCTCATGGAAACAATGGCCCAGGTGATTCAACATCCAAAACAGCTTCAAGTTAACTGACTGAGACGATTCAGCCTCACAGACTACTATAATCAAGGTGTAACCATAATTTTAAATTTTTTCAGGATCCCCATAAGATTACTAGCACCCCCAATCAGCAGGAAGTAGTATAAAAACTATGCCCAAATTCCCAAAATATTGTTTATAAATGTTGGCTTTCATTTAAAGGTTGGTTATATGTTAATGGTCATAGTCAATCTCTTTCTAAAGAAAAAAAGGTGATATGGTATAGAAATGATAAAAAGTAGATTATTGAATCTACTTTAATCCAATAAACAGCTGTTAATCTCAAAATACTTTACATTGATATGGATTTGCTTTATTGATACAAATTTAAGGTCAATTTTGTTATTATATATATAATATATGTACTTCTACTCTTGTTTAAGGTATTATGTTTAATGTAGCTCATTTAAAATATAATGTATAGCTAAAAATACAAGTTAATAGTCATCTATAATAGTCAAACTTATATAATTATAATAGTCAAACATGTTAGTTATGTTTTCTAGATGTGCAGAGATATATTTCAGATAAGTAGGTAGTCTTCAAACACTTCAAAAATCCTACAGAACATGGCATTTAAAACATTTTAAGAACTTGGACTTTTCTTGACAGTGAAAGGCATCTGCTCCTAGCAGCACCAGTTACTTCAAGAGGATAATGGACATCAAAGAAGCACCTCATGGAGTTTGCTTTCAACTGGCAAGGCTAGCCATTTGGGTAAGAAACTGCTCTTGTCTGTACTGCTTGACTGTGCTGTATAAACCGGACACACAGGACACACAGGAAAATGACTGCTGAACTTGTCAAAACAAAGTGGGACAGTCCTACAGAGTTTCTGTTTCATGGAAGAGTCTGCCAGACATTAAGGACACAGAAGAAAGTGACTGACAAATTTTGCCAAAATAGGCAGGATAGTCCTTCAGATTTCCTGCTTCACTGAGAAATCTGCCAGACATTCTAGGCCTATAGGTTGAAGATGGATGTCCCAACATTACAGAAGAACTTTGGGTGACTGCCCAGGCAGCTAATATTTCTGTCATTTCTAGAATTTTGGAAGTTGCTTACAATGCACTTCCTGTTTTCTTAGGTAATAGATCCTTCTTTGATGGAGTTGAAGACTAGATAGTTATAATTAAAGTTTTCCTTAGTTATGATAAGAGATAAATTAGATATAAAACTTTAGACTCACAAAGATAGGATAGATGACAGA